TTAATTTTTTTTCTTGAACATTTATGTATAACTGTTCGATAAAATGTTATATATACCTTTCTTTATTCGCTTATTTGCTTCCAATTTTTAATATGAAGCTGTCTCTTACAAGTTTTTACACGGGTAACAAGACATGACACATCACAAAGAAAAACACATGAAATATATGAGGATAGTACTTTTTGTAAAGCTAAAATTTCTGGACTTTTTCGAGATGATTTCGAGCTGAAAGTATATGTAAAAATGAATAGTACAAAAACAAAAATTTCTTTAAGTATCTGAAATGCAAATAATTTGCCAATTGAGTAATTTTTACAAAATTTTTTATCTGGTTCTCGCACAAATTCGTCACTGTCAAAATCTTCATCTAAAATTGCATAAATTACATAATTTTCTTGTTATTTTTTCAAAAATCAAAATTACATACCTAATTCAGATTTCATAACTGCCTCTTAATAAATCCATTATCCTAAATTTTAACAAGATCAACCAATTCAACATAGAATATTATTTTGTATAATTAATTGCGTTAATTGTTTTATTTTTATAAAATACTTTATTAATTGTTACGTAGCAAAAATTGGAAGAAACTTTTTTCACGATATAATTTTTTTGGTTATTTAACTAACATGTATTTGGACAATATTTGGCTGGTTAATAATAAAAAAATAATGCTAAGAATAAGTTAAAAGAAAGGAAACTTTTTTTTACTTTTGCTACATAAAAATTATCAAAATATACACCTATATTTATTTAATATGCAAAATTTTTAAATTTACTTTTATAAAAACAAAAAGCTTACTCAAGTAAATGTGGTGACTAATTTGGTACAGAGTACACTTAGAAAACGAGCAGATATTTAAAGAATCAATACGAATCTTAATACACGTACTACACAATGATTGCAGTATATCAAATGCATTAAGCTTATACAATAAAATAATAGTAAAAGGCTATGATCGCATGTTGTTATTTTTGATCCGTACGATAAAATAATTGCGAAAAATTTTTTAGCTATATTTATATGGACTTTTTGTCGTATAAACTAAAATTTGGTTGATACTACAATATATCTTAAAAGTTTTAATATTTAACGGAGTTTACGACAAAATCACTACTAAATATTCCTAAAAACTAAAATAGTTAGACAAGTGTGGAATACACCATTTGAAAGAGCTTGAAAAATTTAGCTGTGTATGTTCAATTCGTAACTCATTTTTTTGAATTTGGATTGTACGACAGTATAACTCTGGAGTGACAATATGTAAAGGGGAAAAATTGTATATAATAATATAAAATAGTTACAACAACAAATCACGGTGCAGTGTATATAAAATTACATTGTATATTTTGAGTTCAGTGATCTATTCTATATACAGGAAAACGTTATCAACCGAAAAAGTGAGACTGGTTAGGTGTAACACCATTGCATATCCGTTTGGATAAATCTTTACTGGATCTACAAATAGGATGGAAAATTCAAGATCGGACCAACAGTATTAGAAAAACCGTCGAATCGAGCATACACATTTAAATTTTATCTTAAAATTTTACATTTAGTTTATACAAAGTCATACTCAAAGAAAAGTAAATTTTTGTTAATGGAATCAATAAATTGTTAACATAAGAATTGAAAAAAAGTAAATTGTTTTTTTATATATCTAAAAAAAAGAAAATAATAACTTGTGCTTGGAAAAGGCAATAATAAAAAATTTTATTAGTGATAAAAAAAAATTACAATTTTTTTTCATGTTTACTTTTACAAACATTACAGGTTAGCGTAAATCGCCGCCTAACATTTTTTGGTCCTTCCAGGAAAATAAATTGAAAATTCGCGGCATTAAAAAAATAAAAAAGAAAGACAAAAAAAGTCTAGAATATAAGGAAATGTAGTGTAGTGCAAAAAAAACAAAACACTGAGTTTTTTTTTCTCTTTATTTGTTTTCTTCTAACAATAAGAATATATTATAAATATATAATCTTATATCTAAATACATTTATTTAGAAAATATTAAAAGTGGTGTTGTTTTTTTTTCATTAGATATAAAATTAAGTATTTAAAATGATTATTATTGTTATTATTGATTATTAAAGACCTCAGTCTAAGTTGTTTGGTCATATAGATTAATCTCATTGTCAAGCAATTTTAAATATCGATTTTTAATAGCCTTAAATATTAACTATAGTGTTACCAGAACAAAAACAAAAACATTTTTATCTTCTTTTTACAAAGTGTTTATGCAAGAAAAATTAAAGTAAAACTAATGTGTGATATAAATAAAATTATGAATTTACGTTATGTAGATATTGTATTTAGACATAGTACCATTTTTTTTTTTAATTAAGGTAAAAGGAAATTCACAATTTTTTTTTAAATAAACTGTAAGAATTAATATTTTTTAAATCATTGCTTAAATTGTTGTAAGCACTTAAACTAGTATACACGCAATTCATTTTTTGTTTGTCAGTTTTAAATAGCGAAAGGTAAAAGTCAGCTTTATTCCTAGTTGTGTATATCTATGTTCCGGTTAATTAAATTATGTTTGATTAAATTGTTAATTATTTTATAGGCCAGAAAAAAAAATTCCCCTCTAGAAACGGTTTCAAGACTCAAATATCGTGAGGAATAAACCAAGCAAGAGGGTTGCCTAATAGGACAGAAATTTATTGCTTTTATTGCTCTTTTATGTACAATATCAAGTCTTTTCACGTATGCTTGAGAAGCATTGCTACAAATCGGATTCAAATATGTCAGATTTGACAAGATATAAGACGAATATACGACATATAATGCAGCCCTATCAAGGCACCGCCTCAATCTCCACAATATAAACACATATGGAATAATTTTCTTAATTACATAGTCTATGTGATCTTCACTACATTGATTTGGCTGGTTTTGTAAGTGATATTAGAGAAGTTGAAAGTCTTATTTTCAAAGAGTAATAGCTTAGTTTTCGCAATATTTAAGGACATCTTGTTTTTAAGCAGCCATTCCTCAATAATGCCCAAGTCATGTAAGATCCGTAAATCTACCTCGCTAACGGTGGAATATTTAATAACAGCATCGTCAGCAAAGAGCTACAAAATGCCCCTAAGTCGCAATCTAGCCATATCATCAATATAGATTTTGAACAAGTCGGGGTCCAGAATTGACCCCTGTTTATATAAAAGTTTATATAAAAGAAAAAAGATTTATTGACACAAACTAAAAACATAAAATAAATTGCAAAAAGCTATTGGTGCGAAATTACACAATTGTATAAAATATTGAATAAACTAATGGTAGAATTTCTTTGTGTCGCGAAAAAAAAAGAAAAAACTATAATATATTTGGTGTAGAAAATTAAAAAAGAAAAAAACTTTGAACAATTTTTTTATTTTTGTAGTTTAAGAGTGAAAAGCGGTTTCGATATCGGTTTCGCGACTCGCGCCAGTTGGAAACAAGAATTGGACCTAGGAGAAAAGGAAAAAGAGATTATAGTGAGTTCGTTCGATTTTTCAATTATTTCTTTTTTAAATTATATGCAAAGTTTAACTGGAGAATATAAGGATTTCTTTTTTCTGGAAATATATTTTGGTTTAAATTTTTTTTTTTCGAATAAATTTTTCGTGGCGGATTTGATTTTGAGTGGAGCTTTCTAAAATAATTTTTTGGCGGTTTAAATAGAGTTTGAGAAATAGGAAAGAAGAAATTTGATGGCAGACATTTGGAATGAAAGTTTTTTGTAACTACATTTTTTTTATACGTTTTTGTTCTCTTAGGTGCTTTAATAATATTTTTTAATAATAAAACAACATAACACTAAAAACTTACTGATAATACTTTATTTTGGTCTTAATAAAGTATTATCAATAAGTTTTTTAGAGAAAGAACAAGAAAAATATTGAATTAAATAATATATTTATAAAAAAAAACACTAATTGTAATTTATCAATTATAAAACGTTTTAATAAGGAGAGACAAAAAATATATGTTTATATTTGAAATAAAGATATTATTTTGGTTATTTAATTCGTATTTTTAATTTACCTGTGCTGGATTTTCCAAGTTTTGCCCTTGATTTTGTTCAGGATCTTATTCCTAAATAAATAGATTAAATACATAAAGAACAACATGGATCAGTTAATTAAATTGCAATTGGCGAATAAGTTCCTGATAGAGGCGATAGTGACTCATTTTGCTAGGGACAAAAGAGAGAATAAACCAAAGGGATGTTATGAGAAAGTTTTGAACGACATAGAGACCCTTTATAATGAGATAAAGAAACGCAGATAAAAGAACGCAGAGAGTGCGAAGTGCCCGTTCGTCGAGAATAGCGTGTTTGATGCTCTTCCAAACTAGTCTTCAGTCTATAGAAGCTGAAATGGTTGAAAGGTTTAAAAGTAGACCCGAACCATAGCATAAGCATGAGAAGGGAGGTTTCAAGTGAAGCGATAAACCTGCCAAAGATTACGCTGGCAAAATTTGATGATTATTACCAGAAATGGCCATCCTTTTACGATCTTTTTAAGTCCCTGGTCCACAAAAACGAAACTCTTCCGGCAATGCAAAAATTACTATATCTAAAGTTGCATCTTACTGGAGAGCCCGAAAAATTATTGAGAGCTCTTCAGGTAACAGAGGACAACTATATGGCTGCATTCAACATGCTAAAGGAGCGTTACGACAATAAGCGGGTGCTGGTCAAAACACTATTGAAACGGCTCCTCGGCCAGGGGATTGGACATTGCCGTAAGGAAGCTTTTAGACACAACTAGTGAATGCTTACAGGCCCTCACTAATCTACAAATTGATGTGGAAGGCTGGGATCCAATAATGTACCTCATAGTCCAGAAGCTATCAATAGAAAAGCATGAGCTTTAGGAACAAGGCAGCAGAGTCGAAAAGCAGCTACCAACTTGGCGACACCTGGGACATTTTTTAGAGAGAAGGTTCCATACATTGGAGGCTATAGCAGCTAGAAAACTATTTACAGGTTCCAGCAGTGAAGTACAGAATGAATCAACCAGGAATAGAAACAGCACTTCATTTCATGTTGCTACATCCGGGTCAACGGGTAATGGCGCTCCATGTCCGTTTTGTCGAGCCGCACATATGATAAGAAAATGCAAAGCTTTTTCAAGATTAGGTCAAATTAAGCGATTGGAGGCAGTAAAATTTGGGAAGCTCTGTATAAATTGTTTGAAGCCTGGACATATGAAGACCACTTGCCCGAGACAGCAGAGCTGCTGTCGGTGTCATCAACGCCACCATACGTCACTACACCGAGAGACTGAAGAAGAGCAACTGCTCAACAAGTACATGCACAACACGCCGCACATACTCCACAGCAAGCAACAGTGGTAGCACCAGAGTTGTCCACTTTGGCACCAGTCTTTGTACTCGTCAGCCATAACTTCCACACTTGCGGCGCGGCTCTCAATTTCAGACAACAGGTCTTGCTAGCTGCGGCATATATCAGAGTAGTATTACCTACTACGGGCCAATATCAAAGAGCTAGGGCGCAGATTGATCCCGGCTCACAAAGTTAGTTTGTAACAGAGTCGCTAGTACAAGGCTTACGTTTAAAAAAGGAAAGGATAGTCGCTGACATACACGGTGTATCACAATTAAATATTGGCCAATCCTTGGCTAAAGTCAAAGTAATAATTAAAAGTGCAAATGGTTCTACAGGAGTCCAGGTGTTAAGTTTAGTGCTTAAAAAATTGACGAACTTGTTACCAGAGAGAGACATCTGCGTGCAAGAGTGGCCACACCTGAATGGATTAACTTTAAAAATAGACATAAATAGACGTAATATTAGACGGTTTAAAGAAGCGTCCGTTTGGCGCACCGTTTGTCCAGAACACAATTTTCGGCTGGATCCTGTCCGAAACTGTAAAGCTACAAGTTGTTCCAGCAATAATAATAAACAACTTTCACATGTCGGATTAGGAAATATTGGAAAATAAAATGATGACTGAAGAGGAGCTAACATGCGAGAAACATTTTCGCAGTACATATTCAAGGGCTGCAGATGGACGATACCAGGTGGAGCCACCACTTATAGAAGAAGACCCAATTGAGATTGGAAATTCGAAACATATTGCGATTACCAGACTCTTCGGTATGGAAAAGCAGTTCTGCAAAAATCAACAATTCCAAGAAGACCATATCAAATGTATTAATGAGTATAACAACATAAACCACATTCAAAAGGTGGGATCGATTGATTTGGGAAATGAAAATCAAAAAATCATTTCAAATTATTTACCATATCACGATGTCATCAAGAAGAGTAGCTCCACCACGAAATTAAGGGTTGTTTTTGATGCGTCGCGACCTACATTCAACGGCTCATCCTTAAATAATAAAATGATGGAGGGTGCACTCATCAAGACAACTTGGCCACTCTTTTGCTCCGATTTCAAAAGTATAAAATTCATGGGGTGTATAAAAGTATACACCCCATCTTGAAAAAATGTATAGGCAAATCAAACTTGCACCTAACCACACCGATTATCGGCGAATATTTTGGTGAGAATCACCTAAACAACCTATTTGTGATTATAAATTAACAACCGTAACTTTTGGCACTAAATCCGCACTCTTTTTAGCTACACGGGTGTTAAAGCAGCTGACTACGGATGAAAGGATCAGATATCCTTCAGCATCGCAGGCAACATTGGAGTCCTTTTATATTGACGATTTGCTATCTGGCGCAGACTCACTTGAAGAAGCACTACAATTTCAGAAACAACTCATTAACATGATGGCTTCGAGTGGGTTTTCGTTACGTACGTGGTCATCAAATGCGGCACCATTCCTGAAGGCGGTTCCCAAGGAGCACCGAGAAATTGAATAGCCTTTAAAAATAAAGGATGCAGAAACGATAAACACGCTAGGAGTGCAATGGGACCCAGCTAATGACTACTTATAAAATTACCAAATTGGAAGATAGCGCCTCGAAATGGACCAAGCGATCGGTTCTACAAGAGGTTTCTGAGTTGTTCGATCCCCTTGGTTGGCTGGCACTCTGTATCATTTTGGCCAAGATAATGATACAGAAATTATGGCTGTCTGGTTCGACGCTGAATACAGAAATTATGGCTGTCTCGGGCTGGGACGCTGAATTGGGAAAGGTCCTACAGGATGAATGGCAAAACTACAGGTCCAGTTTTATAAGACTGGAAAAGATCAAGATTACCAAGCGGTTTAATTACACCTCGACGGCATGTAAAATAGAACTACATGGTTTTTACGATGCTTCAATTAAAGCGTATGCAGCAGTGGCCTACTTGGTAGGCACAAACGAAAGTGATGAGAGAAAGGTTAGTCTGGTAACGGCAAAGTCGAAAGTGGCTCCAATAAAGGCAATTTCCTTATCAAGACTAAAACTGACTGGAGCAGCATTGTTAGTAAAATTAATGAAACGGCTGATCAGCTGGTCAGAGGTACGGGCCCGAGCAGATTCCCAGATTGTTTTAGCCTGCTTCAAGGGCATCCAGGTAAATGGACTACTTTTGTGGCATATCGGACTGCTGAGATCCACCATTTATTGGGTAAAAATATATGGCGACATGTACTGTCAAAGCGGAACCCAGCAGACTGTTCTTCGCGAGGTGTTCTACCTTGAACTGGCGAATCTGGACTTACGGTGGCGAGGACTTGACTGGTTGGGCATGCCTGAACAATTTTGGCCTCATAGAGCCACATGTGAGAGTACCGCTGAAGAGGTGCGTAAATCAGCAACTCGCTACAGTACACTCACTAACGATCATCTCGATAACAACATTCTAGAGTTACAAAATAAGTTGTCAACATTTGCGAAACTAATACGTGTTACTGGTTACATGAGCAGATTTATAAGTGTTGTTAAGAAAGCAGAGGATGGTAGCAGTTTTATAACAGCAACAGAATTCAATGCAAGTGTATCTACATGGATACGCATTGTTCAAAGGCATCACTTTGCGCATGAAATACCGCAGCTTCAAAACCGAAAGGTGATAAGTGGCAATAGGAATCTGTCGAAACTAAGCCCTCCTCTACACAAAAATGGAATAGAAAAAGTTCATCGCGAAACTTTGCATGAAGGCGCCCATCTTATATTGAATGTTTCAAATAGGAACATTGGATTATTGACGCAAGAAATCAGATTCGACAAGAGATACACAAATGTATAACATGCTATAAACAGCGCGCGGCAGTTCAAAACCAATTAATGGGTGACTTGCCAGCTTTTCGAGTCAGGGTTGCACGACCATTCACTTATACTGCACTTGGCTACAGCGGGCTTTCTAAAATTAAAACCCACAAAGTTAAAAATCCTAAGATGTACAAGGCATACATTACAATTTTTAAATACCTCGCTGTAATCGCCATACATATAGAACTGGTGACGGAACTTAGTAGTGAAGGTTTCATCGCGGCTTACAAACGATTTAGCAGCAGGCGTGGTCTGTGGTAATCTACTGTAACAATGGCACTAATTTTGTTGGAGCCAATAAGGAAATTGTTAAACAACATAAACAAATGCTACAGCGATTAAAAGGTTGGCGCAGCCGCAAGAAAATGAAGGTGTATCATTCAATTTTATACTACCGGGCTCACCTCATTTCGGCGGGTTGTGAGAGACTGGAGTACGATTGGCAATGTTAACACTCAAGCAACACTTAAAAAGAGAATTTGGCAGTGTTAAATTAACTTATGAAGAATTGATGGCCGGTCTAGCTCAATTTGAAGCCTGCCTAAAGTCTTTATGCGAAATCAGCAGAAATCCAGAAGATTATGCGGCTCTAACATCTGGGCATTTTTTGAATGGCGACGTAATTGTTAGGCCATCTGAACCTTCAATCTTAGATCTTGCTGAAAATCGACGGAACAGATGGCAACTGCTTCAAAGCGAATATTTGTGCAGATTGTAACAACGTCCAAAATGGACTAAACGGTATGATAACATGCAATTGGGAGATTTAGTCCTCTTAAAAGATGAAAATTTACAATCAAGCAGATGACTGATGGGACGCGTTATCGAAAATCATCCAGGTCCAGATGGACTAGTTCGAGTGGTTAAAATCAAGACGAAGAATGACATACAAAAACGTTAAATAGTGATGCTTTACCTACTACCAGTACATTCAAAAGCGAATGAAACTGAAACATCGCATCCGTCAATCGAATGATTAATCGTACGCAAAAAAAAAAATAGATTACGTTCGTGAACATAAACTATACACCTACAAAATTTGCGAATCAACACTTAGTACTGGAAGATGCATCTAATACAAAAGTTTTGAACCTACACTTAAATATACCTATACAGGGTGATTCAGAAAGGTATACAACGACATATACCATTGGTTAGAGGGTTGAAAATGGGTATAACTTTTGTTCCGGAGTAGGTCCGAAATCTCAAGGGTCAAGATGACCAGTTCTAGCGCTACACATATATAATAAATCTATTATGACCAGTTCTAGCGCTACACATAGATAATAAATCTAAATAAATAAAAAAAAAAATTAAATGTAGATATAGGTATATTTAAGTGTAGGTTCAAAACTTTTGTTTCTGTAATCTTAGCCTAATTAAATAATACTTGCTGAATTACACAATTGCTTTTCAACATTTTATCTGTTTCCTATCAAATCAATTTCATATTATTATAATATACACATAATATAGACTAATCAAAATTTATAACCAATCGTAAGGCCTCTTTCGTTTTAATCTTCTGGAACCATTTTCAACCCCTGTTAAACTGAATTTTGATGCTTCAATGTTAGTATGTGATGCTAATTTTTCGTAATGTTTTACAGCGAATCTTTTTATTTCTTCTTGAACTGTTTTTATTTTGAGGTCTCGATGTAAATCAGCATTTCTAACGTAGCATGGTGCTTTAACGATGTTTCTAAGTACTTTATTTTGAAATCTCTGGATGATATCTATATGACATTTACTAGCGCAACCCCAAAGTTGTATTCCATAAAACCATATTGGTTTTAATATCTGATTATAAATTAAAAGCTTATTACCTATACTGAGTTTGGAGTAATAACCAATCAGCCATTATAACTTTGCATATTTAACTTTTAATTCTGTTAATTTACTGTTAATGTGGTCTCTCCATAATAGCTTTTTGTCCAGTATCATACCCAGGTACATGACTTTTCCTTCATTAGGTGTGATTTTACCGTTTAAATATATTGTTAAGTTCTGGCAATTTGGTTCACTGTGGTACACCTGCCATTATTTCCATTAATTCAGAATATTGATCTTCAATTTTTACCCTAAATAATCTATCCCTTAGATACGATGATATGAAATCGACGTACGATGATGGTAAAAATTTTTTAATTTTGTTGATCAAGCCTGTGTGCCATACTCTGTCGAATGCTTGCGTCATGTCCAGAAAAGTTGCTGTACATATTTTCTTTTCCTCTAACGCATTTTCTATTATATCCGTAATACGATGGATTTGTTCAATTGTTGAAAGTTTCTCCCTAAAACCAAATTGATAGTTTGGTATCATGTCTTTGTTTTCCACTATATTTTTTAGGTTGCTTAGAAACAATTTCTCAACTAGCTTCGATAGTATTGGTAATAATGAAATAGGTCGGTATGATTTTACTTCGTTTTGTGGCTTTTCTGGCTTTAGTAACATGGTCATTTCAGCAACTTTCCAAATCAACGGCATGTGTTTTAACCTAAAACAGGTGTTAATTAGCTTTGTTAAAAATAATATACCCTTCCTTGGCAGCTGGATCAGTATTTCGACGGTAATCAAATCGTGCCCTGGAGCTTTTTTTCTTTTGAAGCCTTTTTCGATTTCATCTTTAACTTGCCTTAGTGAAACTTGCGGAATTTGTAAACTTGTATTTCCTTCATCAATCAATTGCTCATTTTGTATGTTATTATTTGTTACCATATGTTGTTTAAAAACTCCTTCTAAATACTTTGCAAATGTATGTGCTTTTTCTTCATTTGTTCTTGCCCAAGTGTTGTTTGTTGTTTTTATGGGTGGAATGTGTACAATAGGTTTCTTGAGTTTTTTTGTAACCTTCCACAGCGAATAATCAGTTTTTTCATCTGGTGTTAAGTTTTTGATGTAATTTTCCATGTTTTCGTTTTTAAAACTTTGAATTTTTCTTTTCATCTCCTGTGTCTTTCTATTTAATATGTTTTTATCTGCCGGGTCTCTCGTTAATTTGTGTTTATAGTACATCTTAGTTCAATTGAATTTTCTATATCCATTTTAAAGCTCTCCCAATCCGTCCTTATATTCGTTAACGTTGGTTTAATTGTCTTTGGTATTGCTTTTTCATTCAGGTTTAAGATGACAGCAGAATGATCAGAGCTCAAATCATAACTATCCTCCATACTTACGCAATTTGTAGCTATTTTTTTTGTTATATGTCCAATACATCTGGCAATCTATTTGCGTCAGTGGGCCAGTTGGTTGGTTTACCAGTTGAGTGGATATGACATCCTTGGCAATTTGCTGCTGCTTTCAATTCTTTTCCTTTTGATGTAGATAATCTAGATCCCCATGAGACATGTTTGGCATTCATATCCCCACCTAATATGAATGTTTCTCCTAGCTCTTGCAAGATTTTAATATACTCACTCTTTTTCAGGTTGAATTTGGGTGGTAGGTATATTGCACCAACAACGAGTTTCCGTTTTTCTGTTTTTATTTCAATTGATGTTAGTGGACATTCAATATTTTGTATGCCATTCTGTACATTGTAGTTTAGATTATCTTTTATTATTAAAGCACTCCCACCTTTGGATTGATTATTTGGATGTCGACTTAGGTGAGTATTATAATTTTTTAATTTCAGGTACATTTGGTCCGTCAGGTGAGT